AGCCCGACCAAAGTTTCCCGCACCGCTTCAGGGAGCACTCCTCAAGAGACAAGACCTTGCAGGGGGCCGATCTGTCGTCCGCGATGGAGAGCAAAATCTGGCTGCTTCCCAGACCAATCGCCATTTACTGCTCTGAGTCCCAAGCGGCAGGATATGAGGGGCAGCTTTGCACCACCGGCTGGCGCAATTATACCGAGGCGAATGCTCATGCTGTGCAAGTTCAAGTAGTGCTTCACTCCCACACTTCTTCCGGCCCTTGTTGGTGCTCAGTGCACCTCGGTCTCTCAGAGAGATGCTTGACTTCCTCTCAGCCCCAAGACACTGGCTGGCCCATGAGATGAGAGAGAGAGAGAGACAGAATCAGAGAGAGAATGAAAGAGAGAGACAGACAGAGAGAGAATGAGAGAGAGAGAGAATCAGAATGAGACAGAGAGAGAAAGAGACAGAGAATGAAAGAGAGAACGAGAGGGAGAATTAGGGAGAGAGGGAGAGAGAGAATGAGAGACAGAATCAGAGAGAATCAGAGAGAAGAGACAAAATGAAAGAGAATCAGAGAGAATCAGAATGAGAGAGGGGGGAGAGAGGGAGGGAGAGAGACAGAGAGAAGGAGAGAGAAGGAGTGGTAAAGAGAGAGGGGGGAAGAGAAAGTGAGAGAGACGGGGAGAGAGAGAGAGAGAGGAGGGAGAGTGCCTGAAGGACCTCATCCTGTCACTGGGAGTCCAGGTGCTTCAGCAAGCGGCGCACTGGATTCGGATTAGTGGTCCGCGAAATTTAAAATTATGAATTTGGTGGTCCTTGAGGTCCAAAAGGTTGGGGACCCCTGTTCTAGTCCAACCCCCTGTTCAGCCCTATAACATTTCAGATAAATAGCTGTCCAATTTCTTTTTAAACACCTCCAGTGTTGGAGCACCCACAATTTCTGAAGGCAAGTCATTCCACTGATTAATTGCTCTCACTGTCAGGAAATTTCTCTTTACTTGTGGCATGTGCAATGTGCAACTTTGCAGGTGGTGCTACATGCGAAAAGGAACACAACCCATGCTGGCCTGAATGAGATAATAGGTGCTGTTATGGAAGGGGGGGGCAGGCGGCCCAAGCGGGCTGAAGTGGCGGCGGCGACGGCTGGAAGGTGCAGGAGTCAAGTGCTACTTGCATTTGCATGGCATCAGCATTCCGCCTTCACCATGGTATATTTGTGCTTGGGACTGCAAAATCCAGCTGCCCCCCGGACCGGTCACCATTTACCGCTCCGAGTCCCAAGCATTAGGAGATGAGGGCTGCCGCTCTTACAGCACTCTTACAGCGGAGAGAAAAAGCCGGATGCCGCTCTCCATTGCAGACACCAGATCGCCCCCCTGCAAGCTCTCCTCTCTCAAGCAGTCCAACCAAAGTTTCCAGCCCCGCTTCAGGGAGCTCTCCTCGAGAGACGAGAGTTTGCAGGGGGCCGATCTGGCATCCGGATTAGAGAGCAAAATCCAGCTGCTCTCCGGATCAGACGCTATTTTCCGCTCTGAGACCCAAGCAGCAGGAAACAAAGGCTGCCTTGCGCCGCAAATATAGCAAGGCAGAATCCTGATGCTGCACTTTCAGCAGAGAGATGAGGGCTGCCTTGGCCATCGGCTGGCGCAAATATACCAAGGCGAATGCTCATGCCGCACAAGTTCAAGTAGTGCTTCGCTCCCACACTTCTTTCGGCCCTCAGTCTCTCAGGGAGATGCTTGACTTCCTCTCAGCCCCAAGACACTGGCTGGCCCATGAGATGAGAGAGAGAGAGAATGAGAGAGAAAGAGAGAGAATCAGAATGAGACATAGAGAGAAAGAGACAAAGAATGAAAGAGAGAGAAAGACAGAATGAAAGAGAATGAGAGAAAGAGACAGAGAGAATCAGAGAGAGAGAGAGAGAATGAGAGACAGAGAAAGACAAAATGAAAGAAAATCAAAGAATCAGAGAGAATGTGAGAGAGAGAGAGAGAGAATGAGAAAGAGGGGAGAGAAAGAGAATGAGGGGGGAGAGAAAGAGAAAGAGTGGGGGAAAGAAAGAATGAGAAAGAGAGGGGGAGAGAAAGAGAATGAGAGAGGGGGAGAGAGAAAGAGAGAATGAGAAAGAGTGGGAGAGAAAGAAAGAGAGGGAGAGAGAGAGAGAGAAAATGAGAGAGAGAGAAAGAGAGAATGAGAGAGAAGAGTGGGAGACAGAGAGAGAGAGACAGACAGGAGGGAGAGTGCCTGAAGGACCCCATCCCGTACTGGGAGTCCAGGTGCTTCAGCAAGCGGTGCACTGGATTCGTATTAGTGGTCCGCGAAATTTAAAATTATGAAGTTGGTGGTCCCTGAGGTCCAAAAGGTTGGGGACCCCTGACCTAAGACCATCGGAAAACACATATTTTTGATGGTTTTAGGAATAACTTTATCGTTGGGGGTCACCACAACATGAGGAACTGTATTAAAGGGTCGCGGCATTAGGAAGGTTGAGAACCACTGCCTTAGCTGCTTGCCTTGCTTCGCTTGCCTGAATCCATTCCATCAGCAAGCAACTCCCTGCCTGCAATCAAGCAGGCAGGGAGTTGTGGACTTCAACTCCCAGAATTCCTCAGCCAGCAAAACAAAGCTGGCTGAGGAATTCTGGGAGTTGAAGTCTACAAGTCTTAAAGTTGCCAAGGTTGGAGACCCCTGTTCTATTGGGTAAGTTTTTTTCCCCTTTGGGAGCTTTAAAAAAAATAGTTAATTGGGGTTTTTTTTAGTTGTTCTTTTTTAGACCTAGCCATTTAAAGTTTAGGAAGTTTTAAATTTAGCTTTCATATAAAAATAAAAATAAAATAAAATAAAATAATATTTGTGCAGCTTTCTGAGATTTAGTGTGTTTATGTAGTGTTTCACTCTAACTACACAAACACACAAAATCTCACAAAGCTGTATGTGGAATTTTGTGTGTGTAAAGTGTGAAAGTTGGGTTTTTGGGCTTTTTGTGGCTGTGTGAGGTTCCTGCTTGTTTCAGGGGCCATTTTGGGTCTAGCACAGCTGCTTTTACATTGTGGGTGAGCCAGTTGATGTTTTTTTAATTTTTATTTGGTGTGCGTTGGAAGAGGGGTAGTCTTATACGGCGAGTATAGGCCAAACTCTATATTTTAACAGGAAAATTTGGGGGTCCTCTTATATGCCCAGTCGTCTTATACGCCGGAAAATACGGTACCTCAAAGATATCTCCAGGAGGAGGAAGAGGGGAAGGTTTCCTCCTCCTCCTGGAACCGCTGCTGCTCTTCTTCCTTTTCTTCCCGGCCGTGGCCACCCAACCTCTGAAGATCCAGGATTTCCACCTCATCCAAAAGGCTGGGGGCAGAAGGATGGAAGGGGTGGTGAGAGCAAAAACAAGATGTGATTACTTATAAAGAGCTTCTTAATATGGAAGGAGGTATCTTACAACTAAAATTTTTGAATCAAGAGAAGAAAGGATAATTCAAACATAGTTTCAGTATAGACAGCTGCAAGCTAGATGGAGAGAAGATCAGAAAATTGGTATCTCGCAAAATGAGGAGAACTTGGTAAAACAAATTAGAGACCAAAGTCAAATGCATATAAAAAGATAGAAATAGATTCAGAAACAGCTAGTTAAGGACTGTATGATAAAATGGGCAGAAAACATTGAAGAACCAATAATGATGGAAACGTGGGAAAAAATATGGGTTAGAAATGTAAAGTTCACGCAAGCCCAAAACTTAAGAGAGAATTTTTATAAAATGTTTTATAGATGGCATCTAGATCCTAAAAAGCTAGCCTGTATGTATCCAAGTGTGCAACCCAAGTGTTGGAGATGTGAATGTGATGATGCTACATATTATCATATATGGTGGACATGTAAAAAAATTAAGGCATTTTGGATAAAAATATGGTGGATTATCCAAAACATTCTCAAAAAGAAGATAAAATTTACTCCACAGTTCTTTTTGTTAGGTATAATTACAGATTGTACGGTTATAGAGACTAAATTGATTTTAAATTTAATAACAGCAGCCAGACTTTTGGTGGCGCAGTATTGGAAGAAGGAAGACTTACCTACCATTGAAGAATGGACATTAAAAGTAGTGAATTTAGCAGAGATGGCAAAAATTTCGGCATACTTGAAGGACCATTCAAATGAAAGATATATATTGGAATGGAGAAGATGGATTGACTATATTCAAAACAAATATCGGACTAAAAAGCTTCAAATGGCTTATGGATGAAACCAACATTTTCTTTTTGAATTATGTTTTCTTTGTTCAAAGGGGAGTTAAAGAGCAAGAGGGAGTTGGGAGCCTACAGAAAGTTAGCATATTTTAGTTTATGTTTGTTAAATGTTATACCCTGTATTTGCCCTGGGAAGTCCGGGATGGGTGGGGAGGGAGGGGGGTTGGAGGGAGAGGGGGGATGAGGGATGGGGGTGGGTGGAGGAGGGAAGGGGGGGAGGAGGGAGGAAAAAAATTGTAATACTTGATAAAACTTTTTAATAAAAAAAAAAAGATATCTCCAGGAGGAGGAGGAGGGGGAGATTTCCTCCTCCTCCTCCTGAAACCGCTGCTGTTCTTCCTTTTCTTCTTGGCCATGGCTACCCAACCTCTGAATATCCAGGATTTCCACCTCATCCAAAAGGCTGGGGGCAGAAGGATGGAAGGGGTGGTGAGAGCTTTGTGGGGTCCCCCTAATGGGGGATGGTTTGAAGTAGACGAAGGGTCGGCTTGGCATACGAGAGCTGGCGCTGGGCTCAACCTGCCAGCTGGAGGAGAGCTGCTGCGGGGGACTGATGAGGGAGCGCTTGGGGTCACAGCGGTAAACCACGTTCAGGAAGCACTACAGCAGAGGGAAGCAGCCGGAGTCAACCCTGGCTTTGCTGTCCATTGCAGACGCTAGATCAGCCCCCTTCAAACTCGTCTCTCGAGGAGCCCGGCCGAAGTTTCCCGTGCCTCTTCAGCGAGTGCTCCTTGAGAAACAAGAGTTTGCAGGGGGCTGATCTAGCATCTGCAATGGACAGTAAAGCCAGGGTTGACTCCGGCTGCTTCTCTCTGCTAACGGGCGGCCAAGCTAACTGCCTGAAGGACCCCATTCTGTCTCTGGGAGTCAAAGTGCTGAAGGGCAAGCGGCACAGGAAACCTTGGCTGGGCTCCCCGAGAGAAATGCAACGATTTCTCTGCGGACTACCAAAATTTTCTCCCAGACTATCAGTGGTCCACGAACCACCAGTTGGTGACCACTGTTCTGGGGTTTTTTTTTCCTGTCAATTTGGTCTAGTCTGCAAATTCGATGAGTTCCCCTTCTATCCTCTTGTCTTAATCATTGATGAAGATGAATAGATCTTGCGAATCCTCCTGTTCTGTTCTGTTTTTTCCGTGTTCAGGAGAGTCTTGAGTCCTTCGAGGAGGTGGCTGTGTCTTTCTGTGAGGAGGAATGGTCTCAGCTGGATCCTGACCAGAAAGCGCTGCATTCGGAAGTCATGCTTGAAAACCATAGGAACGTGGCCTCTCTGGGTAAGAGTTCTCTAGTCCCCAATCAGAGAGTTCAAGAATGCAGATTCTAGTTAGCTTTTTTAATAAAAAACCACTAATCAGATATCGTCTCCTGGGAGGGAGAAGGAAAGGATCTTCTCGTGCTCCAAGGAAGGAAGGAGTCAATGTCTCTTTGCTTAGATGCTTTCTCTGCCATTTCTTATCCCTATTTTTCCATTTCTCTTTGAACTTACCTGTGAGGGCTGAGAAGAACGAGGTGTGCTTTTATGTGTCCTCTGGAGGTCATGTGAGAGTAGTGTGTTGTCATTTGTCCTCTGAAACCTCCAGAATTGTCTGATAATAGAAGTTTCACACTCAGCCCATGGAAGAGCATTCTCCCAATCCAGTTCAAGAACAAAGGCCTCATGCAATGTCACTCAGAGCATCCTAAAGTACAGGTAATCCCCGAGTTACGACAGTTCACTTAGCGACCGTTCCACGTTACGACCAGCCCTCCACCAAGTACTTAAGACTCCTGAAATTACAAATGTTGCAGCACCACAGCCGTCATTCACACTTATGAATGACAGCAGAGGCGCTGCAACAACATTCGCCCTACCTGTTCCCCCACCCCATCCTGCCGGGATTTACCTTGAGAGGATGTGGTGAGCCATCAGTTTCTTTATCTACTTTGGTGAATTTGCAGAAAGAAGAGGCCTAAAGTAGTGAGAGATACGCAAGATCAGTAGTGGGAAATCTTGCACAAAAGATCTCACGTGATCTCGCACTACAGTGCTTTAGGCGTCTTTTCTCTGCTAACCAAGGCCGGCATGAGATCCAGGGAAAATGCTTTGCAAAGAGAGGGAAGGCCTCTTCGTTTTCAGTGAATTTTGTCCTGGATCTCATGCAGTCCTCAGTTCTTAAATGAACGCAGGCCTAAAGTACTGCGGTGTGAGATCATGTGATATTAAGAGCTTGAGATCTTGCACTACTGGTCTCGTGTGATCTCGCACTAAAGTAGTTCAGGCCTAACTTTGATCTTTTTCTCTAACCTTGTTATCATTTTCTTTTCCCTTTTGCTTTGAAGGTAAAAATGGGCAGGAGAATCAAGATTCCTGTGAACTGTTGCAAGTGATCAATGCTAAAGATGGAAGGGAGAAGTTTGGAATTCAAATGGAATTTGAAAGCCATGAGAGGAACCAGTCAAAGAATTGGAATCAGGAAAGCTCATCTTCCACTGATGCACGAATGCAAGACTTTCTTGCCCAACAAGAGAAAATAAGGGAAAAATATACTGGAAAAAGTGTGAACCTAATCAAAGCTAAAGTACAAGTAAATGAACAGGATTTATTCATTCTTTCTCTTGGAAATAACTTCCTTATATCTCAAAAAGCTATTGATACAAAAGAGAAGCCTAATAAATGTTTGGAATGTGGAAAATGCTTTAGAACAAGCAGGCAACTTACTTCCCATGAAAGGGTTCACACTGGGGAGATGCTTTACAAATGCATGGAGTGTGGAAAGACCTTTGCTCGTAACAATACACTTACTATCCATAAAAGGATTCATACAGGGGAGAAACCATATAAATGCATGGAGTGTGGAAAGACCTTTGTTTATAACAGTAATCTTGTTTCCCATAAAAGGACACACTCAGGAGAGAAGCCATTTAAATGCATGGATTGTGGAAAGACCTTTGCTCGAAGTGGTAATCTTATTTCCCATAAGATGATCCATACGGGAGAGAAGCCATATATATGCATGGAGTGTGGAAAGACCTTTGTTGAAAAACGTAGTCTTATTTCCCACAAAAAGATCCACTCAGGAGAGAAGCCGTATAAATGCATGGAGTGTGGAAAGATCTTTACTCGTAGCAGTACACTTACTGTGCATAAAAGGATCCACACAGGGGAGAAGCCGTATATATGCATGGAGTGTGGAAAGACGTTTACTCAGAGCAGTGGTCTTAGAATCCACAAAAAGATCCACTCAGGAGAGAAGCCGTATAAATGCATGGAGTGTGGAAAGATCTTTACTCATAGCAGTACACTTACTATGCATAAAAGAATCCACACTGGGGAGAAGCCGTATAAATGCATGGAGTGTGGAAAGACCTTTGCTCGAAGTGGTCAACTTATTTCCCATATGATGATCCACATGAGAGAAAGCATATAAATGCATGGAATGTGGAAAGAGTTTTGCTCAGAATGGTCATCTTCTCATAAAAGGATCCACGCTCAGGAGAAACTATAGCAATAGCAATTCCACTTGGACTTATATACTCCACAATGCTTTACCACACTCTCTGAGCAGGTTACAAGGTTGGCATATTGTCCCCAGCAATCTGTGTCCTCATTTTAACGACCTCAGAAAGATGAAAGACTGAATCAACCATGAGCCGGTCAGGATTGAACTGGCTGTGGGCAATTAGCCTGTAGTACTGCATTCTAACCACTGACCCACCCTGTCTCTATAGATTTGTATGTGTGTGCATATTGTGCCTTTCTGATCCAAATGAGACAAGGTTGAATCCAACAAAATGAAAGTTAATGTGGAGAAAAGTAAGATTTTACACCTGGGCAGGAAAAACAGATTACTTGAAACCTGGCTCAAAAACAGTAATTGTGAGGGGGACCTTGGGAGTCTGAATGGATGATCACTTAAACATGAGTCACGTGTGTGTGGCAGCAGCCAAAAAAGCTAATATAATCCATGATTGTATAAACAGAGGCATAGAATCAGAATCATGTACCGTTTTATAAAGCCTTAGTAAGACTACACCTGGAATACTGCATCCAGTTTTGGTCATCATGTCAGTGTATAAGTGTTCATTAATTGGAATAGACATGATAACACGTCAGCCAATGGGGACTGTTTAGTGACCCAGACATCTCGGAGCCTGGGCGTGGCTTAGCTTGACTTTGTATATAAGAGGTACTTTTGTCCTTGCAATATTGCCTCTGTATGATATTGCTTCTATGATTATGACTTCTGGATTCTGAGTTCTGGTTCTGACTTCTGCTGCATGGGAATTGTATACATGCATCATACTGTATATTATTGTATATAAAGAAGTTTCTTGTATAAATGAATCCTGCTGAATTATTTACTTGTGTGTTGGTTGGATTGCTGCAAACTCTAACACATCACATTACAAAAAAGATGTTTAGACTATGGAGAAAGTGCAAAGAAGAGCAGCTAAAATGATTAAAGGCCTGAAGACTAAAACGTATGAAGAACGGTTGCAGGATCTGGGTATGGCTAGTCTACAGAAAAGAAGGATTAGGAGTGTCAACTGGATCTCCAGCATGGGTTTTCCCTTTGATGCTTGCCTGCTATCGGCTGCCATAGTAACAGGGAGGGTGGGCATGGCATTGGGGTTTGGGAAGAGAGCTGGTGTAAAGATGGCCCATGTGAATAAAGGAGGTTTACTCTCACGAATTACTAGCTGCTGAGTGGAATTGTTTACAGCCAGTCAAGGCCAACCGTCCTGGAACTCCAGATGGATGAAAAGACCTGAAGATTTGCCCCACTTGACACTATGTGGGGCGGGGATTGGACATTCAGTCTGGATCCCTGGGGGGAGGGATTTGGGGAAATTTTGAATAACATAAAAGCACAACAAAGAATGTTCTTTCTGAGCCAACTCAGGAAGCTCGAACTGCCCAAGGAGCTGCTGATCCAGTTCTATGAAGGAATTATTGAGTCTGTCATCTGCACCTCCATAACTGTCTGGTTTGGCTCTGCAACCCAACAAGACAGAAACAGACTTCAGAGGATAATTAGAACTGCAGAAAAAACAATTACTACCAACTGCCTTCCATTGAGGACCTGTATACTGCACGAGTCAAAAAGAGGGCTGTGAAAATATTTACAGACCTGTCACATCCTGGACGTAAATTGTTTCAACTCTTACCCTCAAAACGATGGTATTTGCACACCAGAGCATTGCACACCAGAACAACTAGATATAAGGACAGTTTTTCTCCGAACACCATCACTCTGCTAAACAAATAATTCCCTCAACACTTTCAAACTCATTATTAAGTCTGCATTACTATTAATCTTCTCATCGTTCCTATCACCCATATCCTCCCACTTATGACTGTATGATTGTAACCTTGTTGCTTGTATCCTTACGATTTATACTGACTGTTTCCTAATATGATTTGATTGTTTATTTGTTCCCTAGGACTATCATTAAGTGTTGTACCATGATTCTTGATGAACGTATCTTTTCTTTTATGTATACTGAGAGCTTATGCACCAAGACAAAATCCTTGTGTGTCCAATCACACTTGGCCAATAAAGAATTCTATTCTATTCTTTTTTTAAAAAATATATATATAAATTTTATTAAAACACAAATTAGACATTTACTCAACATACAACATATAAATAAATAGCTTATCCTTTTTAAGCATTGTTTCATAGTGGTTTTCCATCTGCTATTTTATATTTCTTCCCCTTTTTCTTAATCTGATACTGTTTTGTTTTTTTTCCGCCTCCTTTTTTTTCTTTTCATTTTTGGTTATCAGCAAGAAGTTCGTCGATAAAAGAAAACAATTACGATAAATTAATAATACAGATAAAGAAAGATTTAGATAATTGGAGAAACTTACAGATATCACTAATGGGAAGAATTTCCACCATTAAAATGAATATTTTACCAAAAGTCTTATTTCTATTTCAGGTCATTCCAATAAAATTAGAAAAAAATTTTTTTGAAACACTGAATAAAATAACATCCAAATTTATATGTCAGGGGAAGCATCCACGAATTAAACTTAAACTACTACAAGATACAAAAGATAGAGGAGGAACAGCACACTCTGAATAGGAAATTTACTATCAAGTCGCGGTGTTATCCTGGGTAAAAGAATGGAATGAATTAAAAAAGAATAGAATATTAACAATTGAAGGACATGAAATACAAGTGGGCTGGCACTCTTTCCTCTGGGACGAGAGACACAAAACATACCTATTTCAAAAGACACACAATAAGGAATGCACTATTACAAATTTGGCTAAAGATCAAAAAATAGCATTACACAAAAATACCGATCTGGCTTTCACCATTAGAAGCAGTAAGACATCCAAATTTAACAGAACTTTAAAAAGTAATTAGATACAAAGACTTAATTGAAGAACAAGGAAAATTGAAATCAAAACAACAGTTGGAAACAGACCTAAACAGAGAAATCGACTGGTGGACTTACACACAAATCCAATCTAAACACAAGGAACATACAAAAATATACGAAATCTACAGAGGGAAACAAGAATTAGATAAAATTATATTAGAATCAGAAGAGAAACTAATTAGCAGAATTTATAAATTTCTATTACAATATAAAATGGAGGAAACAGTGAAGGATACAATGATCAAATGGGCGCAAAATTTTAAGTATACAATAGATTTGGAGAAGTGGGAAAAATTATGGCAAGCGAACGCAAAACTAACATTAGCGGTGGCATACAAGGAAAACCAGCTGAAGATGTTTTATAGATGGCATATGTCACCAACAAGACTGGCAAAAATAAACCCAAAAAACTGCAACATCCTGATAGGTTCCAGATGGAGCTTGGGCCATTTCCTGAGGATCTAGCACATGACTCGGCTGAGGACCTGGTAGCCGCCTGGGATCAGGCGGCTGGTGGGGCCTTGGACCGAGTCGTGCCTTTGCGGCCTCTGACCTGGTGCCGATCCCGTGGGGCTCCTTGGTTTACTGAGGAGCTGAGGGAAATGAAGCGCCGGAAAAGACGCCTGGAGAGCAGTTGGAGGGCCAGTCTCGCTGAATCTGATCGAACACTGGTAAGGTCGCATATTAAGGCCTACCTAGTGGCGATAAAGACGAAAGTAAAGTTTAATTACTTTTCCGCCTCTATTTCGTCATCAGGGAATCGTCCGGCCGCCCTGTTTAGGGTGACCCGCTCCCTGCTCCATCCGGGAGTGCGGGAGGATCCCCTGGAAGGCAGGGCGGAGGATTTCGGACAATACCTGTATGACAAAATCACTCGATGATGATGATGATGATGATGATGATGATTATTATTATTATTATTTGAATTTGTATACCGCCCTTCTCCCTGAGGACTCAGGGCGGTGAACAGCCAAATAAAAACATCAAGTACAAATATTAAATACAATTAAATATATATATAAATTTGGCCCCATTAATTAAAAACGATAAACAAAACAATTAAAAACACTTAAAAAATTAGGCCAGCCCAGCTTGCTGGAAAAGGAAGGTTTTAAGGGCACGGCGTTCAGTCTACCCAGAATCCTGTCCATGTCTTCCGGGGTCACAGGATCAAACTCATCCCAGATAACATTCTCAAGACCTGCCTCCGTCACCCTCGCTGGATCTACCCGGTCGGAGTCCAGATTTTCCCAAATCTGAGTGATTTTGTCATACAGATACTGAACAAAATCCTCAGCTCTTCCCTCCAAGGGGTCCTCCGCGCTTCCTGGTGGAGCAGGGAGCAGGTCACCCTAAACAGGGCAGCCGGGCAATTTATTTATTTATTTATTTATTTATTTATTTATTTTTGAATTTGTATACCGCCCTTCTCCCTGAGGACTCAGGGCGGTGAACAGCCAAATAAAAACATCAAATACAAATATTAAAATACAGTTAAAAATGTATATAAATTTGGCCCCATTAATTAAAACAATAAACCAAACAATTAAAAACACTTAAAAAGAATTAGGCCAGCCCGGCTTGTTGGAAAAGGAAGGTTTTAAGGGCACGGCGGAAGGCACTGAGGTCATGGATTCTCCTTATCTCAGGGGGCAACTGATTCCAGAGGGTGGGAGCCCCCACAGAGAAGGCCCTCCCCCTGGGGGTCACCAGCCTGCATTGTTTGGCTGATGGCACCCCGAGGAGGCCCCCTTTTTAGATTTCTGGGATGTTTGTAAGTATTTGGTGGAGATGTAAACCATGTCACCCACTTTATAGGGTCGTGCCAGGCCCCTCTTTTTATCGGCCTGGGCTTTATGCACTCGATGTGTTTCATCGAGCGCTTTACGAGTTACTGCCCAAGTGCCTCGTAACTGTTCGATCCCATCCATCAAAGAGGGAATCTGCGGATTTTCTTGAGGTAGCTCGAATTGGCACAAACTCTTGACCAGAAGCCACCTTAAACGGAGTGAAACCAGTGCTGCTATGTATAGAGTTATTATAAACAACCTCCGCAAATGGCAACAATTCCGACCAGTTATCTTGCTGATAATTTATGTAACATAAATTGAGTGATCTTGAGATAGGGGATATAGTCATTGAGCCCTTGTCATGGTCGGATCACTCTCTCCTTTGCCTTGACCTTCGAACCGCTGCAGCCCGCTGCAGGGAGGTGGAACCGATAAGATGGTTCCGCCCCAGGCGCCTGATGGAACCTGATAGGTTCCAGATGGAGCTTGGGCCAATCCCAGAGGTTCTGGCTCACGCCTCGACTGGAGACCTAGTGGCCGCCTGGGATAGGGCGGCCGCTGGAACTCTGGATCGAGTCGTGCCTCTGCGGCCTCTGACCCGGCACCGATCTCACCTGGCTCCTTGGTTCACCGAGGAGCTGAGGGAGATGAAGCACTGGAAAAGATGCCTGGAGAGCAGTTGGAGGGCCAGCCTTTCTGAATCTGACCGAACACTGGTAAGATCTCATATTAAGACTTACCTAGTGGCAATAAAAGTGGCAAAGTGTAACTATTTTGCCGCTCTTATTGCATCATCAGATAACCGCCCGGCTGCCCTGTTTAGGGTGACCCGCTCCCTGCTCCATCAGGGAGCGCAGGAGGGCCCCTTGGAGGGTAGGCCGAGGACGTTGTCCAGTATCTGTATGACAAAATCGCCCAGATTCAGGAAGACTTGGACTCTGACTGGGTAGATTCAGGAGAGATGATGGAGGCAGGTCTTGAGAATGTTATCTGGGAAGAGTTTGACTCTGTGACTCCCGAAGACGTGGACAGGATTCTGGGTAGACTGAACACAGCCACATGTTTATTGGACCTGTGTCCCTCCTGGTTGGTGCTGGCTTCTCGGGAGGTGACACGAGGCTGGCTCCAGGGGATTATAAATGCTTCGTTGAGTGAGGGTGACTTTCCCGCCGCCTTGAAAGAGGCGATGGTGAGGCCTCTCCTCAAGAAGCCTTCCCTGGACCCGGCAGTGTTAGCAAACTATCGTCCAGTCTCCAACCTTCGCTTTGTGGTGAAGGTTGTTGAGAGTGGGGTCGCGCGACAACTTCCCCAGTACCTGGATGAAACAGTTTATCTGGATCCGTTCCAGTCGGGCTTCAGGCCTGGGTACAGCACAGAAACGGCATTGGTCACGTTGGTTGATGATCTCTGGAGGGCTTGGGACAGGGGTTGTTCCTCTGTCCTGCTCCTATTAGATCTCTCAGCGGCTTTTGATACCATCGACCATGGTATCATGCTGCACTGGTTGGAAGAGTTGGGGGTGGGAGGCACTGTGTTGCGGTGGTTCTCCTCCTTTCTCAATGACCGGTCGCAGTCTGTGTTGGCAGGGGGGCAGAGGTCGACCCCGAGGCACCTTATATGTGGGGTGCCACAGAGCTCGGTCCTCTCGCCCCTTTTGTTCAACATTTATGTGAAGCCACTGGGTGAGATCATCCGTGGTTTCGGAGTGAAGTATTATCAGTATGCTGATGACACTCAGCTGTACATCTCCACCCCGGACCACCCCAATGATGCCCTTGAAGTGATGTCCCGGTGCCTGGAGGCCGTGTGGAGCTGGATGGGAAGAAACAGACTCAGGCTAAACCCATCCAAGACCAAGTGGCTGTGATTTCCGGCGTCCCAATATAGTCAGTTGGTGCCATCACTGACTATCGGGGGCGAGTCATTGGCCCCCACGGAGAGGGCTCGCAACTTGGGTGTCCTCCTGGATTTGCGGCTGTCTTTAGAAGAGCACTTGACGGCCGTGGCTGGGAGGACTTTTTATCAGGTTCGCCTGATCCGCCAGTTGCGTCCCTTTCTGGATCGGGACTCCTTACGCACGGTCACTCATGCCCTCGTCACTTCCCGCCTGGACTACTGCAATGCTCTCTACATGGGGCTCCCCTTGAGGAGCACCCGGAGGCTCCAACTGGTGCAGAGTGCAGCCGTGCGGGTGGTTATGGGAGCAACGTGGCGCTCCCATGTTACACCTCTCCTGCGTGAACTGCACTGGCTCCCGGTGGTCTTCCGGGTGCACTTCAAGGTCTTGGTTACCACCTTTAGAGCGCTCCATGGCTTAGGACCTGAGTACTTACGGGACTGCCTGCTGCCACCAGTAGCCTCTCACCGGCCAGTACGCTCTCATAGAGGGGCTCCTCCAGGTGCCGTCGGCCAAACAGTGTCGACTGGCGGCCCCCAGGGGGAGAGCCTTCTCTGTGGGGGCACCTGCTATCAGGAATGAGCTCCCCCCGGAGATACGGAGGATCCCGGATTTACGCACCTTCCGCCATGCCCTCAAGACCTTTTTATTTCAACAGGCTGGCCTGGCCTAACTTCCCTTTTTAATTGTAAATTTTAAATCTGTTTTAAAATTTTAGGGGTATTTTAATCTGTTCCGGGCCAAATGATTTAATTGAGTTTTATATTGTCTTTTAAATTTTGTAGTCTGTATGTTTTATCTCTTTGGCTGTTCACCGCCCTGAGTCCTTCGGGAGTAGGGCGGTATATAAATCTAATGAAATGAAATGAAAATGAAAATGAAAAAAGCTGGGACCTAAATTTGTGGGACCTTTTCCAATAATTCGAGTAATTAACCCAGTTACTGTTGAACTGGAATTGCCAAAGAACTTACGACAAATCCATCCCGTGTTTCATGTCATCTTACTGAAACCGGAACATTCGTCCACTTTACGGCCGGACCAAGTACCTCCTCCTGTCCCCATTCTGATTGAAGGTGAGCAACATTTTGAAGTTAAGGAGATCTTGGATTCCAGGAAACGTCATGGTAAAGTGCAATATTTGGTGGCCTGGAAACATTTCCCATTATCTAAAGCTGAATGGGTAAATAAATGTGATGTTCGCGTGCCAAAGAAAGTACAGTTGTTTCACACCAAATATCCTGATAAGCCTTAATTTGTTTGTATGTGGTATGCAATGTATTGTTATCTCCTTTTCCCTCTCTTGCAGGAATAAGGTCTCTTCTGCAGGGGGGCCGAATGTCAGCCTCCGTCTTTCAATGCTTGCTTAGTCGGCTGCCATGCTAACGGAGGGTGGGGGGAGCTAGCTTGAATGCCCAGGAGAACCGTGCTGGAGGATGAAGGGGGAAATTGAAAGTGAATCTTAAGCTGCAGCCCTGCGTCTTTGAAGCTTCTATAGGGTCAACGGTTGTGGCATTCCTGATTGATGATGCTGCCAGACGTCTGCTCCACCTGACCCCTGGAAGACCTTTGGATTGGTTGATTTACAGTGGACAATGGGAGGGAATGCTTTCTATCTGTAATTTTCACGCTTCTGCTTCAGATTTTGCTTTCCTTGGTTGCGATCACTTCAATTTTCAGTAAAAGTACCTTTCTCTATAAACAATGGAGTTGGGGTCATTTCTTTCTTGAACTTTGAAGGAAGCACACCTGACACAACCCATGGAACAACCAGGTAGACTGGGGAGCCGTGGGGTTGACCTCCCCCCAGCCACAATGCTGCTGGGAGGAGACAAGCTGGGTGGATATGACCTAGTTGACGATGTGTCAGCGTTCCAGAAAAACCCCAACTCCAAGTAAAGACAAGGAAGCAAGCATTTTCCAGAGTTCTCTTTACTAGAATAGGCAAACTGGCACATCTGGGAAAACCGGAATCTGAAAAGCCTGGGTTTTCCTTCAGTAAGTCAAAGCTCCCAAAACCATCCCCTTTTCCACCCAGTCGGTCACATGCTCCAATCAACGTCCGTTCCATCCCGATCTAGCCTCCTGACCACTCCTCCAGATGCTGGATCGCCCTGACCTTGAGCGACAGGAAGAATGCTATTATGTCTACTAACCCCCTCTCCTAAATCCCCCCCTACTTTCCCACACATAAGAAGGTGGCAGCATTGGAGCTTCCGGCCTAATAGGGCTTCCAAAGCTGACACGACGCTCACAATGGTCAAGGACCTTGGAGTACTCATCTCAAATGACATAAGCATTTGGCAATGCTCACTGTAACAGCATTGCCAAAAAAGCATTAAGAATTGTTAACCTTATCTTGCGTAGCTTCTTCTCCGGTAATATTGAACTAAGGCATACAAAACTTTTGCTAGACCAATTCTTGAATACAGCTCATCTGTCTGGAACCCGCACTGCATATCGGACATCAATACAATTGAATGAGTCCAGAGATATTTCTTGAGAAGCGTCTTCCACTCCTCTGTTCGCAACAAAATACCTTATGCCACCAGACTTGAAATTTTGGGCTTAGACAACTTAGAACTTCGCCGTCTTCGGTCCGACCTAAGCGTAGTACATAAAATTATCTGCTACAATGTCCTACCTGTCAATGAATACTTCAGCTTCAACCGAAACAATACACAAGCACACAATAGATACAAACTTATGGTAAACCACTCATGAAGCCCCTGAGGAGCACACCCCCAGGGGTAACTGTTACCAGATGCTGGAGGGCGATGGTGCCTGGCAGGAAGCCGACCAAGAGGACCTCCTGCTGACACATGCCCTGCAACTTCTGCATGAAGCTCTCGAGAGTCAGAGAGCCCTCCCAATTATAAATGTGGTCTCAAAACCTTGCTTGTTTAAACTAGAGACACTCAGCAAATTATGCTCCATTTCAGGCACACATAATATATCATTAAATCTCTTTTCCAGATATGGAATTTGCACACTGCCTCTTCCAATGACTTTAGCCTTCTGGTCATTTGCCAAGGCTACTGCAACTCCAGCAGCTGGATCCAGCCTGTAAAACAATTTAGAATTATTAACAATTGTTTAACTAGCCCCACTGTCTATCAACCATTTGTCTCTGCTATTGCAATAGCTAACTTTTGCCACGGCAATTTGTCCATCTGCTGATTTTCTTCCTTGCAAACAGTTTCTGTCTTGCAAATACTTTCATCCTTCAAATAGTTTTTTTCTTTGCAAAGTTTTTCTTCAAATGTGTCTTTTCACCACAGGTGAAGCACCGCCTCTCTTGCTGGTCTGTATTCTGGTCTCTTCTACTACTTTTCTCTTTGCAGACATCTTGTGTTGTTTCTCTCTCTGCTCCTTGGGCCCCCACCTCAGGAATTTCTCCTTGTGGCTTTTTCTGAAATGGTGCTTGTGCTCCTCACCAATCAAACAAACTTTTAAGGCCTCCAAACATAATTCCTTCTCTGGTTTGCACTCAAACACTACAGAAACTATGTCCCACGTTTCATCCATACTGTTTAACACCAACAGCACTTTTTGAATTTCAGGAATCTGCATTCCACACAGTTCTAACTCAACAAATAAAGTTTGTATTTGTACAAAATGTTGCTCCACACTCACATGCACACTTCTCAACTTCAGCCAGACCTTCTGTGCAGTCTTTAAATCAGCTACATTGATAAACTGTTATCTTCTAAACTCAAGATGATGTAGGCCATTGCTTTATCATGCTGCCTCTGATCTGCAGCTGCTAATGGTGGCTGGGGTGGATTAACAACAATATCCCACAGCTCCTTGGCCTTCAGGAAACACTCCATCTTTGCAGGCCAAATTATATACTTCTTCTGTCCCAAACGAGGCAGAGAGCTCTCCTTAAATTCAACAGCCATCCTGCAATCTTTCTCTGCCTTGTTCTTTCTCTATTGACACAGGCTGTCCCTCAGCTTCATTACAATTCAGTCTTTCTGTGTGCTCTGGGCCCATAACCTGTCAAGAGTTTGTTGTAGCAATCAAACCCAGAAAGCAAACACAGGTAACTGATTCAGCAAGATTGATTTAAATAAGAAACCTCTTTATATACAAGAATATATACAATACAGGCTTCCGGTTTGGCTTCCGTCGTTGCCAGACGGTCTTTTGGGACCGCCAGCCTCGTCGCCCATAAAGAGCCGCCTCTACAGCTGAGAGGCGGCTCGAAAAACTCCGTCTCATTGGGGAGACGTGAGGAGAGCCGATGAGAACAGGTAGAGCCCTCTGCTAAGTCCCCAGAGGTTTTTTTTTACTCTTGGGGAGGAAGCAGGATGAGGCTCCCTATCCAGCTCGCCGCGGCTCCGGACTTCGGGGGAACTCTGCATTCTGCAAAGCTAGATGATGTAACCAACCTAATTAGCGAAAACTAACAGATTACTTAAACAAGCAGGATGAAATCCGGATTTGGGTCTCTAAATCGCAAGTATTTGTAACAACCCTATGAGTGATTTTAAGAATGAAGAGTGAAAGGGGGAAAAAAAGTTTAAAATGGTGCCTGGCTGAGGCTTGAGAAGAAAGCTGAAAGCGAAAGTCCTTCCGTCTGAATGGCTTAATATGCTACAAAGTATCTGAAGCAATAGCGCTGGTTAGAAGAGAAGAGAAAAATTTCTGCTTCATGCTTCTCTTTCTTTAGAGACTTGATATTGATATTGTGTGGAGAGAAGATTTTTTCTTTAAAAAAGAGTCTGTTTGCGTGGCAGGATGGCACTAAAAATGACAAAGCCTGACAACAAAGCTGTGGGGGGGGGGCTCCCCCATTAATAAATCACAAGAGCAATTTTTGAGCTTGCAGACGCAGAAAAACGGTTTTAAAGACTTAGAGGAATCTGTTGTGGAGGTGTTGGCAAGACATGATGAGATTATGAACCAGAATTTTGAAAAATTTAGACAGGAAATTAAAGAGTTGGTTCAACAAAAGTATGATAACCTGAAGCGATATATTGTAACAGCTTTGAAAGGCTTTTCAGAAATAATTCTAAAGATGGATAAACAATTTGAAGAAATTAATTTAGAAGCAGAGTCTAAAATGAAGGAAGCTGATTATAAGATTTATAATTTGGATAGCAAAATGCAAAGAATTGAAAATGATTTGACAATGATTCAAGAAAATAGCTTAGAAGCAGAGTTTAAAATGAAGGAAGCTGACCACAAGACTTATAATGTAGATAATATAACGCAAAGGATTGAAAATGAAGTCACAATGATGCAATTCAGATCCATGGAATTTGCGATCAGACTGAGGGGAATAAAGGAAAATAGCAGAGAGGACTTGAGAAAGATGTCTGCTGAAGCTCTGGCTGTGATTTTAAAGGTTAGCTTTGAAGAGGTATTCTGTAAGATTGATAAGGTCTACAGAGTAAATTCTTGGGTGGCAAAGCAAAGGCAATTGCCTAGAGATGTGGTGATTTATTTTACTGATAAAGGAATAAGAAATGATATTGTGCAAAAGTCTTTTAACTCCACTCTTGAAATGAATGGAAGGAAGATCTGGATATATAAAGAGCTGCCGTCTAAGATGTTAAAAGACAGAAAGGACTTTGGATTTTTGGTGACTGAGCTAAAGAAACAAAACATCCCATTTAGGTGGGATGCCCCAGTTGGTATAATATTGAGATATCAAGGAGAAAGATATCAATTAAACACTGTTGAAAAAGCGGAAGAATTTTACTACAAGGTTTTAAAAATGGGCCCAACAACTCCACGTATGTCATCAGTGTCAGGAATACAGGAGGGTGATAAAGAGAAGCAAAATGAACAAGAGATTGAAGCTCAGGGTAAGCAGGTGGAGATGGAGGTAATGGAAAAACAACAAGCTACAGAGGGCTTTTTGGATGAGCCGCTTCTGGATTCACTCTCAAAGGCTACAGCTGGATCACCTATAAATATAAGATAGGAGGCTCTGGATCTCGATTTGATGTCTTATCAAGTTAAAGACCAGCATGTAATTCAATCAGTTGACATACAAGTCTTCGAAAAGCAACCATGGTGGAAATCTAAGCCACAACAAGTTAAGAAAAGAAGAAGCAGGTTCTACAAAACTAAAAAAAATTAAACTAAAAAAAATTTTTTTAGCCAACAGACTAATGCCAGTTATTTAAGAGACAATTTAATATAATAAGCAGGATTTATAGAAGGCAGATACATGAAAATATAACGGAGGCAAATTATAGACTTATACTATTTTGAGAAGAATAACAGATCTCTGCAGTGCTGGTGTCTTTGGGATGTGGAAGATGGCCTGTGATTGAGCGGACTGGAACTTTCTATTATGGACTCTATGAAAGATGGACTACGCATATGTTGCGCTATAAGGCAAGAGAACTATGGAATAGGGGCATGCAGATGATCTGGTTGTTACCCTAATGTGGTTGTTGGAATTAATAATCTAGACAAAAGACATTACAGAAGATACCATATGGAATACAAATATAAAGTCACTCGGGGGGTTTTTTACATACAGAAATACTTATTAATGATGGGGGCAGATGGAAATTGAAGATACTAAATACACTGTTGGAAGCAGGATTTGATGTTACCCTAACATGGTCGATGGAATCAACAATCTAGTTGAAAGACATTACAGAAGATACTATATGGAATACAAATTTAAAGTCATTTGAGGGTTTTATCTATATATGGAAATATCTCTTAGTGTTGCGGGCAGAAGGATAAAGATTTTAAATGTATTATGTATGGTAGACCTCTAGAAGTGGGTGAAACAAAACTGATATGGTACAAGGTGATAGGTTAGGTTACTGGTTGCTTAGTTTAGGAAAAGGGATGTTATGTTTAGATATTAATATACTTAAAAGATATGAATTATGAGATATATGTATGGGGGTGGAGGAAATGGGTAGAGTAGAATAAATGCCAAATTAGGATCTATTACATAGTTTTTGTAGCTGAATGCTGTCTTGTTTTGAAATGTATAGCAAACAGGGGACATAATAATAATGTTAGGTAGAAATGTTTAGCACATAGGGGGTGGTGTAAAAGGGTGGTAAAGTAATATATAATGTGATATTAATTTGGATTTCATCTTGGAGAAGCCATGGGGGGAGGGGAAGGGGAGGGGGGGTTGGGGAGGGGGGGGGAAAGGGGGAAAAATTTATATTTGAAAAACTTTTTCAATAATAAAAAAAAAGAATATATACAATACCCATGCAGTTCTCTGAATCAGAAGCATAATCACAGAAGCACAGTTAACAGAAGGAGTATTCACAGAAGCACAATAATAGGAGCACACAATTTATATGTAACCATCTCAGTTAACCTAAGCCACGTCCAGGCCCCAAGCTGTTTCTGCGTCCAAACATCCCTCATTGGCTGACCCAGTTGCTATGCCTATTCATTGGCTGACCTAGTTACCATGTCTCTGCCAGTCATGAATTCTCTGACACCATGTGGATCTTTTTGTGCATAGAAAGTGTACTGCTCACAGCAAAGGTCTTTCCACACTCCATGCATTTATATGGCTTCTCCCCTGTGTGGATCATCTTATGGGAAATAAGATGATCTCTTCTAGCAAAGGTCTTTCCACATTCCATGCATTTAAATGGTTTCTCTCCTGTGTGGATCATCTTATGGGAAATAATATGATTTCTTTGAGCAAAGGTCTTTCCACAGTCAATGCATTTATACGGTTTCTCCCCTGTGTGGATCCTTTTATGGATAGTAAGTGTATTGTTATGAGCAAAGGTCTTTCCACACTCCATGCATTTATATGGCTTCTCTCCTGTGTGGATTTTCTTATGGGAAGTAAGAGTACCTCTTTGAGCAAAGGTCTTTCCACATTCCATGCATTTAAATGGTTTCTCTCCTGTGTGGATTCTTTTATGGGAAATAAGATTATCACTTCTAGCAAAGGTCTTTCCACATTCCATGCATTTAAATGGTTTCTCTCCTGAGTGGAGCTCTTTGTGGCTTATAAGTCCACTGCTCTGAGTAAACGTCTTTCCACACTCCATGCATTTAAATGGTTTCTCTCCTGTGTGGAGCTCTTTGTGGCTTATAAGTCCACTGCTCTGAGTAAAACTCTTTCCACACTCCATGCATTTAAATGGTTTCTCTCCTGTGTGGAGCTCTTTGTGGCTTATAAGTCCACTGCTCTGAGTAAACGTCTTTCCACACTCCATGCATTTATATGGCTTCTCCCCTGTGTGGATTCTTTTATGGGAAATAAGATTATCTCTTCTAGCAAAGGTCTTTCCACATTCCATGCATTTATACGGCTTCTCCCCTGTGTGGATTCTTTTATGGGAAATAAGATGATCTCTTCTAGCAAAGGTCTTTCCACACTCCATGCATTTATACGGCTTCTCCCCTGTGTGGATTCTTTTATGGGAAATAAGATTATCACTTCTAGCAAAGGTCTTTCCACATTCCATGCATTTAAATGGTTTCTCTCCTGTGTGGAGCTCTTTGTGGCTTATAAGTCCACTGCTCTGAGTAAACGTCTTTCCACACTCCATGCATTTAAATGGTTTCTCTCCTGAGTGGAGCTCTTTGTGGCTTATAAGTCCACTGCTCTGAGTAAAACTCTTTCCACACTCCATGCATTTAAATGGTTTCTCTCCTGTGTGGAGCTCTTTGTGGCTTATAAGTCCACTGCTCTGAGTAAACGTCTTTCCACACTCCATGCATTTATATGGCTTCTCCCCTGTGTGGATTCTTTTATGGGAAATAAGATTATCTCTTCTAGCAAAGGTCTTTCCACATTCCATGCATTTATACGGCTTCTCCCCTGTGTGGATTCTTTTATGGGAAATAAGATGATCTCTTCTAGCAAAGGTCTTTCCACACTCCATGCATTTATACGGCTTCTCCCCTGTGTGGATTCTTTTATGGGAAATAAGATGATCTCTTCTAGCAAAGGTCTTTCCACACTCCATGCATTTATACGGCTTCTCCCCTGTGTGGATTCTTTTATGGGTAATAAGAGTACGTTTTTCAGCAAAGCTCTTTCCACACTCCATGCATTTATATGGTTTCTTTCCTGTGTGGAGCTTTTTGTGTTTTCTAAGGCCACTATTATATGCAAAGGTCTTTCCACACTCCATGCATTTATATGGCTTCTCCCCTGTGTGGATTCTTTTATGGGTAATAAGAGTACGTTTTTCAGCAAAGCTCTTTCCACACTCCATGCATTTATACGGCTTCTCCCCTGTGTGGATTCTTTTATGGGTAATAAGAGTACGTTTTTCAGCAAAGCTCTTTCCACACTCCATGCATTTATATGGTTTCTCCCCTGCGTGGATCATCTTATGTAAAGTAAGTGTACTGCTATGAGCAAAGGTCTTTCCACATTCCATGCATTTAAATGGCTTCTCTCCCGAGTGGATCCTTTTATGGGAAATAAGATGATCTCTTCTAGCAAAGGTCTTTCCACACTCCATGCATTTATACGGCTTCTCCCCTGTGTGGATCCTCTTATGGGAAATAAGATTACATTTTTCAGCAAAGCTCTTTCCACACTCCATGCATTTAAATGGTTTCTCCCCTGCGTGGATCATCTTATGTAAAGTAAGTGAACTGCTATGAGCAAAGGTCTTTCCACACTCCATGCATTTAAATGGCTTCTCTCCCGAGTGGATCCTTTTATGGGAAATAAGATTACTGCTCTGAGCAAAGGTCTTTCCACATTCCATGCATTTAAACGGCTTCTCGCCTGAGTGGATCTTTTTGTGTCTTCTAAGGCCACTGCTCTGAGCAAAGGTCTTTCCACACTCCATGCATTTATACGGCTTCTCCCCTGTGTGGATCATCTTATGGGAAATAAGATTATTTCTTTGAGCAAAGGTCTTTCCACACTCAATGCATTTATACGGTTTCTCCCCTGTGTGGATCCTTTTATGGATAGTAAGTGTATTGTTATGAGCAAAGGTCTTTCCACACTTCATGCATTTATATGGCTTCTCTCCTGTGTGGATTTTCTTATGGGAAGCAAGAGTACCTCTTTGAGCAAAGGTCTTTCCACATTCCATGCATTTATACGGTTTCTCCCCTATGTGGATCCTTTTATGGATAGTAAGTGTATTGTTATGAGCAAAGGTCTTTCCACACTCCATGCATTTGTAGAGCTTCTCTCCAGTGTGAATCCTTTCATGGGACGTAAGATGCCACCTTGTTCTAAAACATTTTCCACATTTCAAACATTTATTAGGCTTCTCTTTTGTGTCGATAGCTTTTTGAGATGTAAGGAAGTTATTTCCAAAAGAAAGAATGAATGTCCCATTGTAATTTTGTCTCTTGTATCTTATAGCATCTTCTCCTTTGTTTTGGATTAAATCCTGTTCATTTACTTGCACTTTAGCTTTTATTAGCTTCACACTTTTTCCAGTATATTTTTTCCTTATTTTCTCTTGTTCGGCAAGAAAGTCTTGCATCGGAGCATCAGTGGAAGATGAGCTTTCCTGATTCCAATTCTTTGAGTGGTTTCTCTCATGGCTTTCGAATTCCATTTGAATTCCAAACTTCTCCCTTCCATCTTTAGCATTGATCACTTGGAACAGTTCACAGGAACCTTGATTCTCCTGCCCATTATTACCTTTGAAGCAAAAGGGAAATGGAAATGATAACAAGGTTAGAGAAAAAGATCAAAGTGTAGAAAGTCAACTGAATTTCCTTCTGAATTTCTCCAAAATTCCATTAGGTTGTATGTTTGCATGCCTACAGGGGTGTGATATGGACAGTATGATTTCTATATTCATTTATTTTATTTATTTTATTTGTTTCAATTTATATGCCGCCCCTCTCCGAGGACTCATGAGTCCAGAAAGCTTTGGAAATATCTAGAAAACATCTCTTTCTTTATAATTATCTATATATAAGCAAATCTCACTCAGAATCAGTTTTGAGTTAAGGAATAATCAGGAGAAACATCCAAGGAGGAATTAGGAGAAAACTTTAGAATTATTGGAGTGGGTTAATTTCACCAGAGACCTGTGAGAAATGAAACAATTTTGAAACAAACTCTTTCTTCCAGTGTACCTTCCAGCAGCTGCTCCACGGTGTCTGTCTGGTGAGCAGGACCCCTGCTCGGCCCATTCCTTGATCCCAGCGATGAGACTTTGGAGCGAAATCCCTTGCTGAAGCCTCCCATTGGCTTCTAAACGCTCTTCGTGATAAGATTGGAAAGGTTGGGAGGTTTCAAGAATGGCTATTTCGCTTCCCCAAAGTCTCATCGGCTTGGAAGGGCTCTTTGGCCGGATCTGGTACAGGCATCTGTTCGCAGAGAATGGAAGGCCTAAAGTACTTTAGTGGGAGATCACACGAGACCAGGAGTGCAAGACCTCAGGCTATTAATCTTGTGTGATCTCACACCACAGTACTTTAGGCCTGCATTCTTTTATAAACGGAGGACTTCATGAGATCCAGTGCAAAAGTCTTTGAAAACGAAGAGGCCTTCCCTCTCTTTGCAAAGCATTTTGCCCTGGACCTCGTGCAGGCCCTGGTTAGCAGAGAACATAGGCCTAAAGCACTGTAGTGCGAGATCACGTGAGATCAATAGTGTTAGATTTCCCACTACTGATCTTGTGTATCTCTCAATATTTTAGGCCTTTTTTCTGCAAATGCACCAAAGTAGGCAAAGGAACCTTTGCCACATTGTCGCAAGGTACCGTATTTTTCGGACCATAAGACCGAAGCAAAGGTTTAGAGAAGCAAAACAAGAAAAATAAAGTCTGTGAGCGTCCCGTTTTTGCCATCTCCGGCGTCCAGAAACAGTCTGCATGCCAAAAATGAGTTCGTTTTTGGCCTCCCAAACCCTCTGCATGTCCCGTTTTAAGCCTCCAGCGCCTGCAGACGCCTCCGGAGGCCAAAAGCAGGTCCGTTTTTGGTCTGCAGAGTTCTTCTGGACGCCAGGGAGGACAAAAAGGGGACGTGTGGAGGGTTTGGGAGGCCAAAACCAGCCCCCTATTCGCTCTATAAAACGCACAGATATTTCCACCCCCTTTTTGGGTGGGGAAAGTGTAAGTCCCAGCAGGGTGGGGTGGGGGAATAGGTAGGAAAGTTGCAGCGCCTTTGCTGTCATGCGTAAGTGTGAACCTGTAACCTGTACCCTAGGATGCTTGAATTGGATTGGGAGAATGCTCTTCCATGGGCTGAGTGTGAAAGTTCTGTTCTCACACAATTTGGGGAGGTTTCAGAGGACAAATGACAACACACTCCTCTCACATGACCTCCAGAGGACACATAAAAGCACACCTCGTTCTTCTCAGCCCCCACAGATAAGTTCAAATAGAAATGGAAAAATAGAGATAAGAAATGGCACAGAAAGCATCTAAGCAAAGAGACATTGACTCTTTCCTTCCTTGGGAGTACGAGAAGATCCTTTCCTTCTCCCTCCCAGGAGACGATATCTGATTAGTGGTTTTTTAATAAAAAAGCTAACTATAATCTGCATTCTTGAACTCTCTGATTGGGGACTAGAGAACTCTTACCCAGAGAGGCCACGTTCCTATGGTTTTCAAGCATGACTTCCAAATGCAGCGCTTTCTGGTCAGGATCCAGCTGAGACCATTCCTCCTCAGAGAAAGACACAGCCACCTCCTCGAAGGACACAAGACTCCCCTGATCACGGAAAAAAGAACAGAACAGGAGGATTCGCAAAATCTGTTCATCTTTTTTTTTTAAATAATTTTTATTCAGCATTTACGTCTTTGATATCTTTGTTACATTTTTACAGCTTTCTGATACCGGCATCTTTGGTAATATCTATTTTGTCTTTTGAACAACTATAAACACATACATTTTATGTATTACTTACTAATTCATATATTCACTACAATATATACATATCTATTACACATTAAATATTTCGTTCCTCTATAATATCTTCTCTTACGTTTATACATTTATACATTGATTTTAGATTCTTTCTCCAGCCAGCTATACCATCTATTCCATGTTTTGTAATAAATCATTTCCCCTCAGTCTTTAAATTCCATTGTTAATTTAACTGCTTCCTAGCACCTTCTTTACAATCATCGTATTTGATAGAGCAAATCGTTGTTTCCAATTTTGTGCAAATGAAATTCTGGCAGCCCTAATTATGTGGAGTTTGAGGTAATAAATTTCTTTTCTGATTTTTTCTTTTATAATTCCCAACAAAAATAGTTTGGGTTTCATAACAATTTTTTCCCGTCATTTAATCTAGCCATTTTTTAATTTTTAACCAGTATGCCTTTGGTTTGGGACATGTCCACCATATGTGGAAATATGTCCTGTGTTGACGGTTACATTTCCAACAATGTGGTGAATTTTTTTGGGATATCTTGGCCAATCTCGCTGGGGGTAAATGCCACCTTAACACATTTTATAAATATTTTCTTTGTAGGCGGCTGATGTCATTTTAGTAGTTGGCCGACAACGTCATTTTATAATTTGTTCCCCATAATTTTCCCCAATACTCTAATTCAATATTATACCCAAAATTTTTCGCCCAAATTATCATCGTTTCCTTTACCGTTTCTTCCTCCATTTTGAATTGAAGGAGACGTTTATATGTTTTGGTGATTATTTTCTCATCGATCCCGGTTAATATTTTATCCATTTCTTGGTCCGTTTGGAATCCATATACTTCTAAATCTTTTTTGTATTTTGGTTGGATTTGTAAACAGGGCCACCAATCAATTTTAATTTCTTCTTCCAATAATTTTTGTCCAGATTTCAAATTCCCTACTCCATCTAACAATTCCTTATATGTTGCTATTTTATTAAAATCAATTAAATTGGGGTAGACCAAGGCTTCCATTGTCGACACCCACCTTGGGATTTTTGGATAAAAGTTCCTTTTAATTTTTAAATTAATCCACGTTTCTAGCAGTACTTCCCTCGCTTGATGCCTCTGGAAGTACTTATGGGCTGTGTCTTTTCCATCCCAGATGAAGGAGTGCCAACCTTTCTGTAAGCCATGCCCCTCAATTGTTAAAATTCTTCCATTTTTTAGATTTATCCATTCTCTGAGCCATGACATTACTGCCGCCTTGTGGTAAAGTTCCCAATCTGGAAGGACAAAGCCACCCTTACTTCTGGCATCTTGTCACATTTTAAGTTTGATTCTGGGCTTTTTCCCTAGCCATATAAATTTACTAATAATTTTATTCAATTTGTCAAAAAAGGTTTCCCCCAATTTCATAGGTACTGCTTGAAATAAATATAAAATTTTGGGTAGGATATTCATCTTTATTGTGGCGATTCTCCCAATCAAAGAAATTTGTAATTTTGCCCAATTTTTAAAATATTTTTGAATTTGTTGCAATAATTTTAAGTAATTGTCTTCCTTTATTGAGGATGTTCTTGCCATTAACCAAATGCCCGGGTACTTTGCCTTTTGGACAATTTGAATTCCTAGTTTCTCCTCTAATTTCTTATCTTGGCCTTGTGTGAGGTTCTTAGTAATTATCCTTGTTTTGTTTTTATTCATTTTCAGGCCTGCTAACTGTCCCAAATTTCTCTATTCTTCATCCGCAAAAGCCTGTGTTTTGTATTCTTCTCTGTTAAATTTCCCCTTGCCTGCGCCAGTATTTCTAATGAAAGGATGCATAAAAGGGGAGATAATGGACAGCCTTGTCTGACCCCTTTATTTATGTTGACTTTTTCTGTAAGATCTCCATTGACCATAATTTTTGCTGTCTGCTTTGAGTAAATTGCCTTAATCATTTCTATAAATTTTTCGCCAAATTTCATCCCGATTAATTAAAAACTGTCAATTCTAGTTGTCGAATGCCTTTTGTGCATCTACCATTATTACTGCCAATTGTTTTTCTGGGTGGGCCTCATAATATTCTAAAATGTTCATTATAATCCTTGTATTGTTTTTAATTTGTCGATTGGTAGAAACCCATTTTGATCCGAATGAATAATTTTGTTTAATATCTTTTTTAATCTTTCTGCTATTATTGTCAGGATTTTGTAGTCGGTATTTAACAGCAAGATTGTCCTATAATTTTGAATAAATTGATTATCAGTACTTTCTTTGGGGATTAATGTTATATATGCCTCCATCCACGAATTTGGCATTTTGGCTTTCTCTAATACCTCATTAGAAGGGGAGCTCATCAAATTTGCAGACAAGACCAAATTGACAGGAATAC